GGGGGCGGGGGGGCCCCGCGGGCCGGGGGGGCGGGGCGGGGGGTCCGGTGGCCGTGGCCCCGGGGGGGGAAAGAAAAAAAAAAGAAAAGGCCCCGAAACCAAAAAAAAAAAAAAAAAAAAAAAAAAGTATACTTGACAAATTAAAATGAGGATTTAAAAAAAATAAAATTTTCCTAAATGAACCCCCAGATTAAGAATCTTGAAGTCTTATGATTAAAAACTCATAAGAAATACAGTGTAATCACTGTGAAAGGAAGTTGACTAAAGTTAATGTAAATCAATATATTTATAAAAGGCAAATTATTTTCAAGAATATATTCCAAGTATGGTAGTATTGTAGGAAGAAGACATAAAAGTGGTAGATTTTTCAGAAAAAGATATTTGCAAGTTATCTATTTTGCCTGCTAGGAGTTTGTTTCTGTTAGAATAATAGTAAATCACAATGGAAATTAATTACTTGGTGAAGCTATTTAAGTAATAACTGAAATTGTACTAGCATGCCTGAATTCCTAAACACTTAGGCACTATTTATCTTGAGTTTTAATGCTGTGATTTTTTTCATAGGCATGTAGAATTTTAAGGTGAATTCTGTCCTTGAAGAATGATCAGCGTTTACACTAGTATCCTCTTTCTATGAGTAATAAGAGTTGGCTCTCCTGGGGACTTCCCTGGTGGTCCAGTGGTTAAGACTCTGTGCTTCCACTGCAGGGGGCGAGGATTTGATCCCTGGTTGGGGAACTAAGATCCCACATGCTGAGCTGTGCAGCCAAAAAAAAAGAAAGAAAGAAAAAGAGTTGGCTTTCCTGGGCCATATGTTGTACCCCTATGCTGTCCCCTGACGACATAGCCTCAAATCAAAAATGATCTGCAGAACTGCTCACTTTCACTCCAGTCCTTCCATTCCTCAACTCCAAGAGCCTACACAAGGAAAAGCCCAACATAGGATATATGTACCAGAGCTAGACAGAGAGTCCTTGCCCCAAGTCCCTAGTTCTAAAAACAAGACTGTGAAGTGGCCTGGCTCCAGTCCCTCCAGCCAAGTGGAAAGAAAAGATAGGAACGGAGAAATATCCAAGAATCTTGATTACTAGAAGATGTGGCCTCTTCAGAGCCCTAGAAACTTACATGTCAGCTCGGTCCCTCTCCTTGGGTATGAATCAAATGCTTTGATTTTGGCTCATTCTGAGGGAGGCATGCAAGTAGAAGGAAGCCTTAAGCTCCTTTTTTTTTTTTTGTGGTACGCGGGCCTCTCACCGCTGCGGCCTCTCCCGCCGCGGAGCAACAGGCTCCGGATGCGCAGGCCCAGCGGCCACAGCCCACGGGCACAGCCACTCCGCGGCACGTAGGATCCCCCTGGACCGGGGCATGAACCTGCGTCCCCTGCATCGGCAGGCGGACTCCCAACCACTGCACCACCAGGGAAGCCCAAGCTCCTTTTATAAGCCAGAAGAACTCAGGTCAGGATTGAGCCATCACCAAGATTGGTAAAGAAATATTTAGGAACAGTCATACTGTGTTCTGGAATTTGATTCTTTTTATCATACTTTGATAGTATAAGAATATAAACCTCCCTTGTGTGTGTGGAGAATAATCCATTTTGTTCCATGGCTAAGGGATAGCCATTTTCCTACTGATGATTTGAGATTTTGACACTGATACACTCAAATACAAGTTACATTTATAGAACGTAAAATGTGGGAACAAATTAAGAAATTTTACATGCCATGTGTATAGGAAAGTCACACCAGTACCAATGGTACTGCTTCTGGCTTCATGAAGGACATGAATAGTAAGAAAGTGATGTTCAACAGTTCACATTACTATAAATTAATGAATGGTTAATAAACCAAAAATCAAAGTAGATGTAATATTGTATCTAAAGCAGCACTGCCCTAATTTATTGAATAATATCTACTGGCCTTGGTGAAAAAGACTTAGTTTTAAAAGAAAAGGAAAAAATTGCCCATCTGATTCATTAAGAATATAAGCAGTTTCCAAATGTGTTAGAGCCTTGATTAACCAGAACATTCACAGCATTTTCTGCCTTCTAGTGGCAGTATACTACTTGGCTGGAGAAAAAACAAAAAGAAGTCTGTCAGTTATCCCAGTCATCATGGCGTATCAGGAATAGAAAGAACGGGGACTCCCTGGTGGTACAGTGGTTAAGACTCCTTACTTCCCCTGCAGGGGGCCTTGGGTTTGATCCTTGGTCGGGGAACTAAGATCCTGCATGCAGAGCGTCCAAAAAAAAAAGAAAAAACCACATTTTCTTGTAAGACAATGCTGTTCTGCTCTGTTCTAGTTATAAGACCGTTGCTTAACCTCTCTGACCTCAGTGTTTTTTATTTGTAAAGTTGTATTATAGAGAATGCAAATCTTACCCAGCTTTTAAGTTTCATACGGATCAGATTGTATGTGTGTGTATGTGTATGGGTCAGCATATAGATAAGTCTAACATGTACTATAAATATATTCAATGTATGTGTTGTATTACCTTAGATAAAAAGAGGTCACTGCTTTTGCCTTTAGTGGATGTGGGAAAAAACTAGTTGGCTGCTATCATTAGACTGTGAACTCTTTGTGGAGCAAGGACTTTTGTATTAATGCTTAATATCCCTAGCATTTATCAGTAGTCCCTTACTCAGATATTCCATAAATCTTTGTTAAATTTGTGTCAGTGAATGTGTATATACTCCTAAATATTCCTGAAGAATGTTAAAATGGCCCCTAGTCCAAATATAGCATCCTTTTTTTTTTAAGTTTTATTGAAGTGTAGTTGATTTACAGTGTTCTGTTAGTTTCAGATATACAGCACGGTGATTCATTTATATATATATATATTCTTTTTCAGATTATTTTCCCTTACAGGTTATTACAAAATATTGAGTGTAGTTCCCTGTGCTATACAGTAGGTCCTTGTTGGTTATCTATTTTATATGTAGTAGTGTTTATATGCATCCTTTTTCTTTCTTACGTTAGAATTTTTTTTCCCCAAGGACAATTTTCCCATTTTGTTTTCTGCAACTATCTACAATAGGAATGAAACAATTTCTAAAAAACTGTGCTTTTAAAAAAATTAAAATAAAATAAAAGACTGTGCTTTTATTCTAAAATATATTCTACATCAATATGTTTATACTTTCCAGTGTTCTTTGTTCCTTCCTGTAGTTCCATGCTTCTACCTGGGATTATTTTCCTTCATCTTGAAGCATTTTTACCGTTTCTTAGAGTACAAGTCTAATGGCAGTGAATTCACTCAGTTTGTCTGAAAACATCTTTATATTCATTTTTGAAAGATATTTTTGCTGAAGATAGCGTTATAAGTTGGCGGGAAGTTTTTTTCTTTCTTTAATAATGTCATTCCATTGTTCTGATATCCACAGTCAGTCTTAATGTTGCTCCTTTGAAGGTAATGTGTCTACTGTTCTCTAGCAGATTTTCAGATTTTTCTCTGACTTTGGTTTTCAGCAATTTCACTGTGACATGCCCAGCATAGGTTTCTTTGTATTTATTCTACCTGAGGTTTACTGAGTTCCTTGAAATTGTGAGTTATTATGCCTTTCATTAGTTTTGGAAAATTCTAGGCCATCATCTCTTCAAACATTGCTTGTACCTTATTCAATTTTTCCCTTAGGCCACGTGAGTATGTACCAAATAACTATTATGCTCTGTTCTGGATTTCTTAAAACTTCTTTTCTCATTGTGTTTCACTATAATATTTTTCTAATAACCAGTTTGCTATTTCTTACTTCTGCTGTATCTAGACTGCTATTAAATCCATCTAATGACTTTTTTAAGTTCGAATATCATGTTGTTGGTTCTAAAATGTCCATTTGATTCTTTTTATAGATTCCAGTATTGTTTAAATTCCCCATCTTTTTTATTTCTTTGTCTTTTCCTCTTCTTTTCTTTTTTTTTGTATTTTTTGGGCTGTGCCACGTGGCTTGTGGGATCTTAGTTCCTTGACCAGGGATCAAACCTGGGCCCCCTGAAGTGGAAGCTCAGGGTACTAACCACTGGAATGCCAGAGAATTCCCTTATTTTCTTGAACATATTAATCATAGTAATTTAAAAAATTATTTTCTGAATAATGCCAATATCCAAATTATTTTGGGTCTCTTTCGTTTTATTTTCCTTAGCTTTTAGTCATTTTTTTCTGTTTTTCACATACCTCATAATTTATTTATTTATTTTTTTTGTGGTACGCGGGCCTCTTTCACTGTTGTGGCCTCTCCCGTTGTACACGCTCCGTTCGTGCAGGCTCAGCGGCCATGGCTCACGGGCCCAGCCGCTCCGCGGCATGTGGGATCCTCCCGGACCGGGGCACAAACCAGTGTCCCCTGCATCGGCAGGCAGACTCTCAACCACTGTGCCACCAGGGAAGCCCTACCTCATAATTTTTTATTGGATGTTGGACATTACTGTTGAAAGATTATAGAGGTTTTGGATGATATGATTCTCCAAAGAAAGCTGTTTTCTTCTAGCAGGCAGAGCATTGGCAGATCACCTTGATCCTGTCAAGGCTTGGTTTGAGGCACTGTTAAGGCTGATCCATTTCAGCTTTACACTTACTCCTAGGGCATGACCCTTAACCTGGAGGATGAGGCCCTTCTGACTTCTTAATTGAAAGCCTGCGTTGTCACTCAAGGCTCCTTGACCTTTTGGGGGGCTTGAATTCCAGCCCTCTCAACAGCAACTCTGTATCTGAGAAAATTTCAGCTAAGTTCTTTTTTTTTTTTTAACATCTTTATTGGAGTATAATTGCTTTACAATGGTGTGTTTCTGCTTTATAACAAAGTGAATCAGCTATACATATATCCCCATATCCCCTCCCTCTTGCTCAGCTAAGTTCTTAAATCTTCCAGCTGCTGTTTTCTGCTGACCTCTTAGAGTCTCATCCTGTGCATGTGCAACTTGGAAGATGGCCAGCGACCTGAGGAGAACTTGTAGGCAGATCTTAGGGGATGGGGGTTGCCTGCGGTGTCCTCACCTCTGGGATTTTCGTGTCTCCAGTCCTAGCCATTTTCGTGGCCCTGAATTCTAACTTCTGTCTCTGCAGCTTAGTCCAATAGCTGTTTTCTAGTTGGGCTCAAGTCTGCCATGCTGGCATTTGGAAAATGGTCTTAGGAAAAGAGCCATGGCTTATAACCCCTCGAGTTCTGCTTGTGTTGGTAATTCTCCAGTGCCTTTTAACAGTTGTTTTATAAATGTTGTCTATCTTTTTTATATAGCTCTTTTCTATGGGAAGATTAGTCTAGAACAAGCTGCTCTGTCATGGCAAGATTCAGAAGTCCTCCATCTAGGTTTATGTCTTTATAAACATTTGATAAGCTTTAAATATTTTCTTTCTTTCTTTTTTTTCCCTTCAGATTTTCTAACCTCTTAGGATTATGTAACCCAGACTAAATATGCAAAATAAATATATTTTTCAGAACTGGCTCATAAGATACATTGATATCTAGCAAAGTCAAAATCTTTTGGTCAGATATTACAAACTTGTACTTATGTTTGAACCAGAAGCATGCATGATAAAATTAGAGTTTCTTTTAGCTTATCCAATAAAAACATAACTAATGTTATGTAAAGTATATAAGTTCCTGAAAGTGTTGTTTCCTAACCTATTATGTATTTTTGTGTGAAATATATACTCTGATATTATGGATGTTTGCAGGTCCCGACACAGGCGATTTTCTTACAGCCAGTCTAAATCTCGCTCCAAATCACTACCAAGGCGATCTACCTCAGCAAGGCAGTCAAGAACCCCAAGAAGGAATTCTGGTTCTAGAGGACGGTCACGGTCCAAGTCCTTGCAAAAAAGGTCCAAGTCGATAGGAAAATCACAATCAAGCTCACCTCAAAAGCAGACTAGCTCAGGAACAAAATCAAGATCACATGGAAGACATTCTGACTCCATAGCAAGATCCCCATGTAAATCTCCCAAAGGGTATACCAATTCTGAAACTAAAGCACAAACAGCAAAACACTCTCATTTTCGATCGCATTCCAGATCTCGGAGTTACCGTCATAAAAACAGTTGGTGAACAGCGACAGAAGAGTGCTACGTAGTATTTAATATGTTATTAAACCTCTCGTTATGTTAAATAAAAATTCTTCAAGGCTTACAGAAAAAGTGAGTTGATATTAGTTATTTTGGGCATGTGCAAGAGATAAAATCTCTCTATCTTGGGTTAAGATTTGGTCTCGATTTAAGGGCCCATACCACAAATTATTATGTGAGTAATGTCCCATTTTATGGACCATTTTTTGTTTACATTGTGGCAGAAGGGTACTTTTCAAAGGAAATGGAACTAATTTGGAAAATTAGACTTGGATGTTAAGAATAATACTAATAACTTTTACGAAAGTATTTTTTACTTTAAAGCACTTTTCTTTCATGTAAAAAGTAATTATGACTGTATAATCGCATAGGGCAAACTTAAGACTATTTGACATCTTACGTCTCCTTTTTGTTTTCTCTTTAAACTTGGGCCAATTCCTGATGGATATTAGTTCATATTACAAAATTCTGACATTTCTAAAAGTAGAGTTTATAGAGAGATCAAGTGTTCAAAAGATACATTCTTTCCTGAGCTCAAAAAAGGTTTTATTTTTACTGGGTGGAACAGTATAGATAAGTTGACATTAAATTGCATTCTATACCATATTTATTCACTTCAGAAATATCAAAACGTTATAAAAATTCTGAATTTTGAATGGTTTGAGACGAAAAATGATGTGCAACACTCATAGTCCAAAAATTCATATCAAGCCTTACACATTTGAAGAGTGGTACATTTTGTATAAAAATCATACTTTATACTGTTAATTCTGCATACCTACTTTTCATCTACTGCTTAATTTTTCTTTTTAGAGCTCTAGCTGATGACTTTAAACTGTATAGAATAACTCTTATTTATTTTTGGAAATGTTTAGTACCTTGTATTAAGAAACTCAAGACTGCCTCCTCAAAAAACAACTTTGCAGTATTGGGATTTACATTACACTGCCCTTCATTTTTTTAAGCCAAACAGCTTTATTGATATTCATTGCTTTTGTAGTTGTTAAAACTAAGAATTTCTTTAAAAATGTGTTTGTAGATTATGTTTTTCAGAGGGTTTTGGTAGTATTTGTGATAAAATGGTTTTGCATATGGTTATTATAGGGGATATATTTATAGAGCTCTACTTGTGTACCTTGTTGAATTACATTGAAATTAAAAGTTCTCAGCCCATACAGTTAATATTTGTATCTAGAGTGCTTTAGAAAAAAAATATGTCTTATATTTTTAGCATATAGGAGCCAATATTGCTTCTATTTGTTCTGAATACAAATTCCATCTTTTTTTTGCATTTTACATCCTGTGTGTAAGAAATAACTTTACAAAATAATTTATATGCTGGTAATATTTGGACAGGTACCGTAAATTCATGTATATTGTACTTTCTGAGTAGATTTTCTCTAATCATAGCAAAATTTATTTCAAAATTATAGCTCTTTGAAGTGTTCAAATGTAATAAAACTTCAGTTATAAAATTATGTGGCAGTATTGAAAATTGAGAGAACAGTCTGAAGAAAGAGCAAGACAAATACTGATTTTTTTGTATCTTCTAAGTAAATGTTTGGGTTTACATACACATATATGTAGTTATTCCAAATACTAATTAGGAGTTGATTATAGTGTCTTTACATTTAATCATTATATCTTAGTAAAAAGTTAATAAGGCAGTGTTTCTGAACATGCTTAATCCTTCGATTTATCTCTGATTTGGTTTTCCACTGTAATCCCTGGGCTGCTTAGGGAGGGTACTGTTTGGTTTGATGGAAAAACTGGAATGATAATAGTTTAAACTTTCTGATCATTTACTATGTGCTTGGCACTGCTCTGTAAGTTTTACATTACTCGCTCATCACAACAGCTTTATGAGGTCAGTACCACTGCAGATAAGGTAAGTGAGACGCAGAGAGGTTAAATGACATGCACAAGGTCACACAACCATTACACTTTGGAGCTGGGTGGTGGCTGGGCTCCATACAGCCCTCCCTGATCACCATGCTTGTCTTTTTGGAAGAAAAAAGTCTTTGGCAGATATATGCTAAACTAAGATAATATTGAGAGGAAAAGGAGAGAATAGAATTTGGAAAGGAAATGATTATAGGGTTCAGTGAAAATGGGTTCTGTGACTGAGTGGAAATTGATTGGCAGTTGTGCTGATACCCTGGAAAATTGTCCTCTGGGTACATCTATTCTAGGGTTCACTTCTGCTGTAGAATTGTTTCTTGGACCTTTTAAGAGAGGATACTTAGAGTAAGATTGTTAAATAAAGCAAATGTATCACACATCTGTGATCATTTCCTGTAAAGATAATATATTTACTCAGGTACTTCCTATGTTTGGTGTAGGGGCACTGCCTACCTCCATTTGTTCAAGATTCATAGAGGATAAGTTAATGTCAAAGAAGATAAAGGTGGCCACCATGACTGCTTGGTTTCTTTCTCCCCATGAATAATTCACATTTCTGTGTAGCAGCTGGTATTTTGTAGCTGCAAACGTAATGGGGGAATATGCCAAATTTTTTATCTGTAGTCTGCGGTTTAATCTTGTGCCTCTGGGCTGTTTATTTTTAAATGTAAAATATTAACTAATTTCAGGACTTTATATGTTATCTGAGATAACGACTATTCTAAGACATGCTGTTGTATTACAAATAAATAAGAATTTCTGCTTTTATTCCAATTCCATTGCATGAAGCAAAATTAGTCGAAGTTTAAAGGAAGAAGCGTTTAGAAATACTTTTATAATTCTTCTATACTACATTAAAATTGTAATTTCTTATTTAGAGTTAAAAATTAAATTTGTTTTCCAGACAGGATGGTAGAATATTTGGGGTATCTGTATAAATAAATACATGCTACTTACGCAGGAGATCTTAATCTGGTATCATGAAACCGAAGCTTCAGATCTAGGTCCTCTAGATATTCAAACAAGTCCGTGACTCTTGGTATTTTAAGGACCAGTGGTTCAGTGAGACATACGGATATTACTCTCAAAACTCATATATTTGATTAGAAAAATTTAAGTATTAAATGAAGATTATGAACTTAGCATCTAAATTACTCCCTTGATGAAACTAGGGTATTTAGGATCATAACATTAGCTCTGGCATTGATCGAACCATGTCAGTTTAGGCCCTCTGGAAATTTTATATCATGTACCTTTAAAAAGATGCTCTTAAAATTAAGCAAATTAACCACAGCTTTGTGCATCCCAGACAAGGCCCCATTGCCTCACACAGACAGCCTTGGGGGAGTAAGCACTTCATTCCTGACTGGGCTAGGGCCTGGCCCCCACTGCTTAGAGAATGCCCCTAATGCACTGATCCCATCCCAGGAACACAATAGAGCTGGGACAGCCCACAGAGAAGGTGAATGGACTGTAATTGATGGATTGACTGTGATTATAGAATTAAATTGGGTACATCTTTTGAAAAGAAGTAAATTAAGTGTAGAGATACTACAGTCAAAAACCTATTTAGAAATATAATATTCCCTTATAGAAGTGTTAGATATGCCAGGTTGATTGAACTTCATTCAAGTTAAAACAGTACTTCACAATAATGACAAATACCATTTTTTATTTAAAGGAATCATGTGAGGAAAGACTGAATTTAAAAATATACATAGCATACTATACCACATCAGTAATATTTTCCAAAAAAAAAAGGTATAATGTTTTTATTTTATTTTGGGGAAAGGGTTATATGATTAGTCTTTCTTGAATCTTATGTTCTAGGAATGTACCACAATTTTGAATTTATGAAAAGAAATAGTATCAACTTGTGGAGATAGATGGATGCTCAGTGGGTTAATGGTTGCTGTTTTTTAAATGTATTATGTGATTTAAAGCATATGTTTGGTTCACGTTTCAAAACACCATATTCAACCTACCTGTAAGTTTATGAACTAGTAACGTTACAAGTTAAAATCAGGAATATCTTAGGGTATGTCAGGTTTCAGGTTCTTTCAGAATGCAGACAGAAAATTTAAAGGGTCAGTCTCTCCAGATGAGACTATCTAGCCAGTAATCAGTGCTTTGTGCTAGAAATGGATTGATTGCATGTTTATTACTGTTTGATCTTATGTATTGCAGCTTGTGTAGGATGAGCAGTTTCTCAGAAAAAGTGTAATTGAAACAAGAAGCAAAATTACCACTTTTCTAATTTAGGAGTATAATTCTGTGAACGAAATGCCTAAGAACTATATGCTTTTTAGAAATGTGTCCATAGAAATTGAGGAAAACCACATTCTAGTTTTCTTGGCTTACTCCTTATAGTATAGACTTAAAATGCTGTTAAATTGACTAATTTCAACAAAAATCTCAATATAAAATAGTCTTCCAGGCTCAAGTGATAGCCTTTTTTTTTTTTTTTTTCTCAATACTAAGAAAAATTCAGTGGATTTCTTTGTGGGGGAAGTTAAGAGCCATTCCTATGACATTTGTGAGGTGGTGTCTGCTTCGTGGGAATACTACTTTACACCTTGAGAAAAAGTACTCTGTTGAAGACCTTTTTTCAAAATCGACATAAGCTGTATAACTGGTCTGACTCTTCAGGGCATTCTTATATTTTAAAAATGAGATGGAATGTTACTTAAATTTATTTTAACACGTAAAATATTTATATAATTTCATAAGAACCTTAAGGAAAAGCATTAACATTCACATTGTCGGTAAACCTTAAGATTTGGGCCTTAAAATGTTAAATGTAACTGAATTAGCAAAACTAATGCTCTAGTTTTGTTAGAATATTCATTATAATTTTTAATGTGTATACAAAGTCTAACCATTTTTGGTGTTATTTTATACTTTATAATTCCCTACTCTTGCCATATAATCTATGTGGGATTTTTTTAAAAATACCACTTAAAAACATGGATAAAAAATTTTCTAAAATTTATTTGTAGTGAGGTGTCATAGAGTCTGTCATACAGAGTGAAGTATATCAGAAAGAAAAATACTGTATTCTAACGCATATATATGGAATCAAAAAAAAATGGTACTGATGAACCTAGTTGCAGGGCAGGAATAAAGATGTAGACATGGAGAATGGACTTGAGGACACGGGGTGGGAGTGGGAAGCTGGGGCGAAGTGAGAGTAGCATTGACATGTATACACTACCAAGTGTAAAATAGCTAGTGGGAAGCAGCCGCACAGCACAGGGAGATCATCTCGGTGCTTTGCGATGCCCTAGAGGGGTGGGATAGGGAGGGTGGGAGGGAGACGCAAGAGGGAGGGCATATGGGGACATATGTATGCATATGGCTGATTCACTTCGGTGTACAACAGAAACTAACACAGTACTGTGAAGCAATTATAGTCAAAGATCTATTAAAAAATAAAAATAGGGCTTCCCTGGTGGTGCAGTGGTTGAGAGTCCGCCTGCCAATGCTGGGGACACGCGTTCGTGTCCCGGTCCGGGAAGATCCCACATGCCACGGAGCGGCTGGGCCCGTGAGCCATGGCCGCTGA